TGGGAACCCTTCCCTCTGCCTCTTCTCCCAGCCCCAGAAATGCTGTTTTCCTCCTGAACTCTTACTCTCTTCAATCAAGTTGTTCATAAATGCCTTCTACTATCACCAACTGTGGTTCAGAACTCTTTTTTTTTTTTTTTTGAGACAGAGTCTCACTGTGTTGCCTGGCCTAGAGTGCCGTGGCATCATCCTAGTTCACAGCAACCTCAAACTCCTGGGCTCAAGCGATCCTCCTGCCTCAGCCTCCCGAGTAGCTGGGACTACAGGCATGCGCCACCATGCCCGGCTAGTTTTTTCTATATATTTTTAGTTGTCCGATTAATTTCTTTCTATTTTTGGTAGAGACGGGGTCTCGCTCTTGCTCAGGCTGGTTTCGAACTCCTGAGCTCAAACAATCCGCCCGCCTCGGCCTCCCAGAGTGCTAGGATTACAGGCATGAGCCACCGCGCCCGGCAAAGAACTCTTGTCTAGATGGAGATTTTCTGTCTCCTGCTCCTTACTGTACATTACATACATCTTTCTCCCTACCAGTGGCATCATCATAGCTCACAGCAACCTCAAACTCCTGGGCTCAAGCGATCCCTCTGCCTCAGCCTCCTGAGTAGCTGGGACTACAGGTGTATGCCACCATGCGTGGCTCATTTTTCTATTTTTGTAGAAACAGGGTCTTACTCTTGCTCTTGCTCAGGCTGTTCTTGGGCTCCTGGCTTCAAGCGATCCTCCCGCCTTGGCCTCCCAAAGTGCTAGGATTACAGGCATGAGCCAGTGTGTCTGGCCATTCCCTACCTTTGATAGGGCTTAGGCATAGCTGGTAGCTGTCATGGTTGTATTATTTTGGGGGGAGTACAGATTCCAGCAACATATCTGATTAGCCTCGTAAGCAGCCTCTTAAAGTTCTGCTGGAATTGCTCCTTTGGGCTAAAATACTCAGTCCATAACTTAATTTCTCCATTCATTTGGTAGGAGGGCATGACAGGAGAATGGACTCTGGAGTTAAGCTTCCTGGCTTCATATCCCTGCCTTGCCACTGAAGAGCTGTGTGACCCTGGGCAAGGTGCTTAGCATCTCCAAGCCTCAGTCTCCTCATCTTCAAAATAGGTTGTTGTGAAAATAAAATGAGCGCATGTATAGCATTTATTTTAGTCCAGTGCCTGGCACATGGTAAGAGTCCAAACAGTAGCTGTTACTGTCTTGTTCTTCACTTCATGCCAGCTTCCAGGCTGGCTGTTGGGCTCGGGGAGTGTTTGTCCCAACCAGATTAGAGGTGGCTTCAAAGGGTCAGGTACCAACATGGGGCTCTGCCATAACTGTTGAACTCAGAACATAATTGTTGAGCACAGAGATTGTGAATGGTCAGAGAAGGCTTCGCATAGGAGGTGACTTGAGGCTGGCCTTGAGGACTGGGTGGAATGTCGTGCTAGGCAGCTGCAAGAACACAGAGGTAGACAGACATAGGTCACTTGAAGAATAGCACTGGGGGCAGGGAGGGAGTTGGTGGTAGGAGATGCTGTTAGGTCACAGGCCAGACCAGATTCCCAAGGGCTTTCGGGTAGCGTTGCTAGATTTAACAAATAAAAATATAGGCCACCGAGTTAAATTTGACTTTCAGATGAGCAACCAATACTTTTTATAGTATAAATATGCCCCAAATATTGCATGGGTTATATTTATACTAAAAATTTTGTTGTTTATCTGAAATTCAAATTTAACCGAGTAGACCGTATTTTAAATGGCACAACCCTACTTGTGTGCCTGGTCCCCAAAAGTTCCCTGCTAAAATGCAGACAGGTTTCAGTCACGAGGGGAAGAATCCTGTTAACTTGTTGGAGCAGATTTATTTTTAAGAGTAACATGGAAAGTGAATGGGACATAAAGGAGGTCAGTCGAGCGGTTAAAGAGTGTGGGCAGATGGGGCGGAAGGGAGGGCAGGATGTGGCAGGAGCTCTGGCAGGTGCAGAGGGAAGGCCTGGAAGAGGACTGGCCTCACAGGGGAGCTTGGGTGAGGCCCGGATCCAGCTCAGAGCTGGGAGGGGTCTTTCCCACTTGCCCAGACTGAGTCCCTGCAAGGGGCCTGGCTAGCTGACTGTCCTTTTGTGGGGCTCCCTGGGCCCAGGTATGGACTTTGATGAGGGCTGTGGCTCACAGTGGGGATTCGTAAACAGGGGTGATAGGGACCGTTGTGTAGGCGCCAGCCACACAGAACCACGTGTAGTTAATGATGCCAACAATTAGGGTGGTCACAGTAACATTAGAGTACCTAATACCTTCCTGTTGCTTTAAGCACTTTACTCGTTTAACTTGATTGACCTTCACTGGGATCCTGTGAAGTAGCTACTAATGTTAATATCATCCCAGTCATGTATTTCAGAAAACTGAGACACAGAGGTCAAACGGCTCACCCAAGGTCACACAGCTCGCAGAGGAGTAAGAGCCAGGGTTTGGACCCCAGCTGCCAGGGAGGAGGACCTGCACAGTTGACCATGCCACCATCCATTTCCCTGACCACATGCTGCACTTTCCTACCCCACGCCAGTATATGGCACACCCAGATCACACAGCACCTCCTAGGCGAGGCAGTTCCTGACCCCACCCCCTTTTCCTTTAGCCCCTACCAGACAGAAGTCCTGCCTGTCCCCTTACTAGTTTGTGTCCATCGTTGTTATGACAGTGAATACTTTTAAGTCGTAACTATTTACCTTTCTGCCTCCCCACTTGACTGGGGGCCCTTTTTAAAGTCTTTCTAATGTTCCCTCCCCTAAGCAAAGGGCCTGGCACAAAGTAGACACTCAGTAAATGTTCCCTGAATAAGGCCAGGTGTGGTGGCTCAGGCCTGTAATCCTAGCACTCTGGAAGGCCGAGGCAAGAGGATTGTTTGAGGCCAGGAGTTCCAGACAAGCCTGAGCAAGAGCGAGACCCCATCTCTACAAAAAATAGAAAAATTAACTGGGCATGGTGGCTCATGCCTAGGGTCCCAGCTACTCAGATCCCTTGAGCCCAGGAGTTTGCAGTGAGCTATGATGATGCCATTGTACTCTAGCCAGGGCAACAGAGCAAGACTCTGTCTCAAAAAAAAAAAAAAAGAAAGTTCCCTGAGAAATGCAAGGACCTGGGGCAGGGGCCATGCAGCCCTGGGCTGAAGCAGGCTGGGTGGAGCTTAAACAAGGCATAGGAATAGCACCAACACTTGTGGAGCATTTACACATCCATTCTTAAAAAAAAAAAAAAACTAAACTGGATCCTCGCTGGCACTCCATGAGGTAGGCAGAGATGGTTTTACTAGTAGTATGAGGCTATTGATTGAATCTTTGGATATAGAGACAGAAATAAAGCGGCCCGGAAATATTTATAATTTTCAACTATGAAACTAAGAAAAAATCAGCAGCAGTCAGTTTTCTAGAAAAATGGAAAAGAACTCACTGGTATTCATAAGTACTAACTACATCCCTAGCAAAGCAGAGGGAAAGGTTGCTGGGTTGAAGGTTGAGGAGAAATATAAATGGGAAGAGAAGAAATGGACAGGTATAGACCAGGCCCTGAGATTCTGTTACCCTCTTCAATCTTCCCGACAGCTCGGTGTGGAGGTGGTGAGGTTCCTGTGTTAGGAGGTAGAGGCTCAGCCAGATTTGGTGCCTTGCCTGAGGAACAGGGATTCAAACCAAGGTCTGATTCCAGAGCTCATGCTCTTTCTTCTGCATTCAGGAAAGAGGAGAATTAAAAACCACAAGACAGTTCTTGACCTCCAGGAGTCTGGCCATACTGGGGGAAGTATTGGGTGTGAGGGCTTTTGGGGTTGGAGGAGAGAGTGGTCTCTTGGGCCAGGGATGCCCAGGTTGGCAGAGGTGAGGGAAGGGCCATTTCAGGCAACTGAGCAAAGACTTAAAACAGGGCATGTTCATGGACAGCACCAGTCTGTGGTGGAGGGGCAGGAGAGGGGTTGCCATTAGGCCAGGGGTGTCTTCCATGCCATGCTGGAGAGGTTTGACCTCTAGTCAGTCATAACTTCTGAGCAAAAGCTATAGACCTTGTCACTGTCTTTAGTCCAGATCCCCAGTCCCTTGTCAGAAATCCTGGCACCAAATAAGTTTCGGGATTCAGATTCTTCCTGATTTTAGAATGGTAATAAGGTGCTGCCCATCACGGGGCACACACGGGGCATCAGCCTAAATCCGAAGGCTCTAGGGTGGCTCACAGCCTGCTGCTGCATGGCCTCAGGTGTTCTGTTTCTGTGGAAGTCCTCGCAACAGTCCATATAGAGGCCCAAGAGTCCCCCAGAATGACAGCTCTGGGGCAAAGAAATGAGGCCCACATTGGGTGGGTACAAGAATTGCTCTGGCCTAAGTGAAGCCCCATTTTCCTTGGAGGCTGATCTCTCTTGTGAGAATGTCATACACATAGCTGCCAGGGTCCCTACAAAACATCATCACACTCAGGGAAACCCAAAGCCATGTATTCCCCATTTACAGTTCCTCCCAGTCCAGATGTAGTATACCATTCTGGGTCACTTTTACCATAAGCGGTGTTGCCTGGTTATTTCATATAGTCGTCATACTACCTTTATCTGGTCTTCAAGGGCACAGGTTAACAGAAGTTAACCGATTCTCAAGCAGAAGGCAAAAGGCATTGTAACATAACCCTTCACATGCATCATACACTCAGTAACACATCCAGTAGGGTGGCATCCCAAACTCAGACACTTTACTGTTCCTGCAGCAACGTGCATCAGTTGTAACAGGAAGTGGGATAAATGAAGACAAAAAAAACTTCACATCAGCTCAGCTCAGGTCAGGTTTGATACTAAAAATACAAAAAACAACCTTTCAGAGTTCAGAGCTTTTAGAGTTTGGTATTATTCGGAAAGGGGGATAGTAGACCTGTGAATTTCTCCCCTCAGGGAAATCCTTGAGGCCGGGAAGTAGACGTTGCCTGCCTTACCGCTAGAGGGCCCCCGGCCATCATTTTCCCCAGGGTCCTTGCTAACGGAGGTTTCTGCCTCTCTTCAGCTTGCAGATGCTAGGAAGTTACCTAACCTGAAAGAACTTCTCCAGTCCACCGGAGACGAAGACAAACGGGCCTTGGACCTGGTGAGCTGGATTTTATCCTCAAAGGTCCTGACAATCCACAGTGCAGGGAAGGCAGAGGTAAGACCGGTCTGCAGGAGCACAGATAGCTAGGCCGAAGGGCTCCGGGGCAGTGCTGCAGCAGTGGCTCTGAGACCTCCCTGTGTACCAGAATGACCTGGGCAGCTTGTTGAAAATGCAGATTCCTGGACTTCAGCCTCAGAGATCCTGATTCTGTGTCTGGAGTCAGGCCCAGGAACTTGCGCAGTGATCGTGGAAAGCTGGGTTCTGCCTCCTACTAACTAGTGACCTTGAGTAGTTACTGGGTACATTTCAATAACTCAGTTTCCTCATCTGTAAAATGGGGTAATAGTATGCTTCCATTGAGGAACTGGCTGTGGATTTTCACACTTAGAATAATGCCTACGGGCATATACTAAGGGCTCGGTAAATGTTAAGTATCACTTTATTTAACAAGCACTGCAGGTAATTCTGATAAGGATGACCCTGATCACACCTTAAGAAACATTGGCTTAGTCCAGTTGTCGGGAAACAGGCAGAGCCCAGAGTAGTGGAAAACCTCATGCTCTGGGTTAAAATCCCATTTCCATCAGATATTGGGTCTCCGTTTTAGTAAATTATAAATTGAGAATATTAATAGTTGATTTGTAAATTGAGAATATTAATAGTTACCTCAAAGTGGGGCTGCGATACAATGTGTGTCACCCCTCAGCACAGTTTCTGGCATAAGTCAGACATTCCATAATTTGGTTTACCTTGCCTGGCTGGGGTCTCCAAGGGACAGGCTGGGATGCCAAGTACCAGAGTGTAGGACTTGATTCCTGCTCTGGGGCTCCTTCCTTTGAGTGGTGGCAG